TCTGACCTACTTGGGAGCCCGAGGCATAGAATACCTCATTACATGCATAATACGTAATACATGTATTATTATGCGTGTAATAACAACTCTTCATAGCATTTTGTACATGTTAATGTCATCAGCATGACATACAAATCCGTTTTTTCTCTACAGGAACACAAAGAGTCACCAGTTACTAGCTGAATGCTGTGTCTTAGTTCACTTGTACAGTGGGAATTATAATAGTATTCATTCTGCTGTTTGAAAATCAAATGGATCAATATTTATTAAGTGCTTACAGATGTCCCTGGCACACAGTTAAAGCTCGGTAATGTTAATTATTATTGGTGTGGGCCTTTTTTATTCCAAATGAGGGTTACTTGTTGAATTCTTTCTATTAAAGAACTTGTGTTATATGAGATATATTCTTTGTGTCACTGAATTTACATCTTCTCTTGGAAACGACTCTCTCTTTCTAGAACATTTCTCATACTCTCTCCCCTATTGTCCACGTAATTTTCTTTTTTATTTTGTTTTATGAAACATTTCATCAACTATATCTTTCAACTGTTCTGTGGTCTTTATATCCAATCTCCTCTTTTTATTTTTTTAATTTTGAATTTTTTTTTTGTTTTTGGTACTGGGGATTAGACTTGGGACCTTGTGCTTGCAAGGCAGGCAGTGGCACCACTGAGCTAAATCCCTGGCCCTCTTTTTATTAATAATAAAATCCTTGTTGTATAACCAGCTACTTGATCACTCATTTCTCAGTCCTTTCTCCATCTAGTTGTCTATATGACTAAGTTCTGGGAAGTGGGTGGAAATGGTAAATGAAACACTCCCCTGAAATCTCTTAAAGAGAAGAGACATCCTTTTTCTGCTCTTGTTTGCTCTGTGGAACGTGGAAGCCCTGCTTTCTTATTTCCAGGCTTCCCATATATAAGAACAAAATAAAACTCTAAACTTTGAGTTTTATTTTTATTTTACAAGAACTTTTCCCTCTCTTCTGAATGTTTCTTTAAGTAGCATTTTGTTCTAGTTTGATAGCATCTTATCCTAAAATATATTAAAGGGTTTTCTGTTTTCCTCTGCTTCTTGCATTGTCTCTGTTTCCAAGTTTATTATTTTTCTGTATGTTTATTTCGATCGTTGTCTTTTCTGTTAGAAACTTTCTTTAATTGATTCACATTGTCTGTCCATTAATGAATGAGGTATAGGGGCTGGGGTGTGGCTTATTGGTAGTGCTGGCCCCATGTGTGACGCCATGGATTCAATCCCCAGTACAGGAAAGAAAGAAAGGAAAGAAAAAAAAAACAAGGAAGAGAGGGAAAATAAAGAAAAAGGGAGGGAAGAAAGAAGGGAGGGAGAGAGGGAGGCAAGGAGAGAGGGAAAGGGGATGAATGAGGAATTATAAATTATAATTGTATATAATTGGACTTGTTGATTAGTTGTTCTCTCCATGTTCTCTCTGCAGGGGTCCAGACATTTCTTGGGGAATCTCCAAATACTACTATCTTTAGGTCTAATAAGTGTCCCTATAGAAAGATGCTGGGGCGATAAACCGGCTGCCTGCGCTGGTGGGCCATGTATGAATGACTTCTTCGTGGAGTGAATGGACTTCTACAAAGAGAACTGTGGAATGGAAATTTGCCTGGGTTGATGACCCTGGATTGTAGAAGTCCTCCTGTTTCTAACGTGAATGGATAGGACAACTGTCTCAAGAGAAGACTTAAAGAGCTCTGCTGAGCAACATATTTATATTTTTCCTTGGGGTCCCTGAAAATGCCCAGAAGGGGCCCAGCTGCAGCTACTCCAAAATCCAGCTGGTGTGTCCATTGATTTTTCTTTATCTCTCCAGCTGATCTGATTTTATCCCAGGAAACTTTATGAGTTGTCAGGGCAACAACAAAAAAGCCTACATATCCATTCTGGTTTAAATCTTTGTCCAGGCCCTATAAGAAATGTTCGATTTTTTTCAGGAAAAAAAAAAAAAGTTTTCTTTGTAATAATTTTGCCATACCATCTACTACTTCTTTCCCTAAAATGGCCTACAGGTATATGGTGAGAGAGGGGCTTAGGTGATCTCATAGCTTTGAAAAACAGGTTCTTCAGGGTCACATGATGTCCTTGCACAATACTCCTCAAGCATTAAAAGACACTGTCAAGAGACAGAAAAGAAAAACCACAGAATAAAATACTTGCAAATCATATCTGATAAAGAATTAATGTCTAGGGGGCTGGGGATTTAGCTCAGCGGTTCGGTGGCATGCCTCACAAGCGCAAGGACCCGAGTTTGATCTCTGGTACCCCCCCAAAAAAGAATTAATGTCTAGAATATATAAAGAACTCCTATAACTAAGAAAAAACCCAGCCACGGTTTAAAAATAGGCAAAGGACTTGAAAAACATTTTTCTAAAACATATACAAATGACCAATATGATGCTCAACATAAGTAATCATTAGGGAAATTTCACACCAAAATTAAAAGATACTACTCATCAATATGTCTATTAGTAGAAAGAAAAGAAAGATAAAACAAGCATGGGTAAGGATGAGAAGAATATGTTCACTGTCCAAGGGAATAAAAAATGGTTTAGCCAATGTGGAAAACAGTATGGCAAACACTAAAAAATAACAAAAATTTCATATAATCTAACAATTCCACTTTATCACCCAAATAATTGAAAACAGGAACTTGGACAGATATTTGTATACCAATGTTTGTACCAATGTACAGATAGACATGTGAACACCAGTATATTGTTAGTATACCAATACACATACTGTTGTAAATTATTTTTTCTATTATTCACAACAGTAAAAACACAAACTTCCATCAGTGGATAAATGGATAAACAAAATGTGATATATACATATAATGACACATTATTAAGCCTTAAAAAGGAATGAAGCTGGACATGGTGATGCATACCTACAATCCCAGCTACTCTGGAGACTGAGGAAGGAAGATCGAAAGTTCAAGGTCAGCCTGGGAATACAGTGTGACTCTGTTTCAAAATAAAAAAAATAAAAAGGACTGCAGATATGGCTCAGTCCTCCCTGGGTTGGATCCTCAGAAATGGGATGAAAATCCAACAACAACAGCAACAACAACAGCAACAACTACAAAAAAATTGACACAAGAATTTGGAAGACTTTAGGCCTGGTAAAATAAGTCAAACACAAGAGGACAAATACTGTATGATTCCACTTGTATGAGGTACCTATAGTAGTCTAATTTTTTAATTTATTTATTTGGTTTTCTGAGACAAGATCTTGCTATGCAGTTTAGGCTAGAGTTGAGCTCAATGTGTAGCCCAGGCTGGTCTCAAACTCACTGTGATCCTCCTGCCTCAGCCTCCTTCATATTGGGATTAGAGATGTACACCACCATCACCAGCTAGTAGTCAAAAATCTTAGAAAGTAGAACGGTGATTTGCTAGAGCTGGAGGAAGGAGGAAATGGGGAGTCACTGTTTAATGGCTTCAAAACCTTAGCTAGGAATGATGAAAATGTTCTAGAGAGGGATTACAATGAGATCTACATGACAATGTGAATGTACTTAAGGACATGGAACTGTACACTTAAAATGTTAAGATGTAAATTTATGTGTTCATGGCAACAGGGCCAATTTAAAGGATTTGAGCACCTATGAATTTTCTCATCTGTGGGTGGTCCTGAAAGCAAGCCTCAGTGAATACAGAGACACAGAGTGGGTGATCCTAAATGGATGTACGCAACCTCAAAATGAATGAAGCAATGAGAACAGAGATTCTGAAACTGTTCATTGTAATGGTTCTACTTATCGGACTCCTTCCCATTCTTCTCATTATTCATATTTCTTTTCATTGCTTTTTCTTCAGCTTTTAATCTAACCAGTCTACTTAGAATAGACATTCCCCCAGCGATCTGTAACTCTGCTTTATTTTTCTTTGTAGTATTTTGTCATAACACAGCACTTTAATATTTATTGGTTAACATGTTTGTTGTCAGTCTTCCCCACCAGAAGACTTCCCCACAAGCACGATGGGTGAGGTTTGTTTTATTCCTATCATGTACCCCAAATTTAGATCTGAGCCTGTAACATCTTAGCAGGGGCCTAAAGATGTTTTTGAGTGAATTAATTTATTTATGCACTTTATAATATTTAATACATTATGTATTTAATATATTTAGTTGTTAGATTTATTTAATATTTTCATTATCGTTTACTCACTCATTCACCAAGCCTCTACTTTGGGTCTTATATGTCAGTATGAGAGGTGGGAGGAGACAGATGTATAGAGTTTCATAAAGAAATTCCCATTTCCTGAAGAATAAAATTAAAAATCCTTCAAGCCAAGATCAGACACCTTAAATCCAAGGGTGAAAATAAGTTCGTTTTTAAGCACTGAAAATGATAGGTTTGTTTCTTAAAATGTGAAAGCGTACCACTGTTTTTCCTTCTACTCTCCCATGGAGCGCCCAACGCCTTAATTTTCCGCGACTGAGAACAGCGCCAAGTCCGCGGCTCCTCACTCCTTAACTGACTGCAGGGGAAATCCCGAGGAGACGCTTACATCAACCCTTCCCCCCACCGCGCTAGACAGAGTTGGCTAAACCCTGTGGGAATGGCTGTGGCCTCAGCCAATTGTCGAAGCCGGAGCAAAGGCTTGTGTAAACAAACCAGAGGAGCTAAGTCCTTGGCTCCTCCCCCACGTGGCAGCTAGACTACTCCTAAACTCAAAGACCATCCAGGACCAGCGCGGTGTCCTTTCTGTCAATACTAGTCCGGGTCTCCCGCAAGTAAGCGTTCCATCCCAGGGAAAGATCAAAGGGAGCGAAAGGACAGGCGTTAAGACCAATCACATGCTGGACTTCTGAAGCAGTGGGCAGACATTGCTTCACATTTACACCAATGAAAATCACATATGCTCGGCTAGGTGACTGAGTGGCAGCTTTTTCGGCCCAATAGGCGAATGGGGCGGTGCCAAGCAACCAATGGCTTGGTTTCGGGGGCGGGGCGAGAAGCCTGTGTGCCGTAAGAGGTTGCCAGGCTAAGCTTAGTGGTGCTTCTCCGGTGCTGTGGCTCAGGTTTTGGTACTAAAGGCCGAGACTGTCCTGGCGTCGACGACCTCTGCGGCGAAGGGTTAGGCTCTCAGAGAGTGTAGAGTACCGTCTGGAAGAGGAGCTTCTGGTAAGCCTAGGAGGGCTCGGGCGCCAGGACCTGCGGATCTAAGTGTGCCTTGCGCCCCCTTTTCATCCCTCACCATCGAGATTGTGAAGGGGCAGCGCGTGCCTGCCTTACCGCCTGTAGGGCGAGGAAGTCCTCAGGGTCCCACGTCGCGGCCATTGGCGAGAAGGTGCGTCTGCTTGGGTCACCTGCCCCTTGGGAGCTGTGTGTGGGGGTCTTGGTCTCTTTTCTCTATACAGGTGCTCTGTTCTCCCACCCCCACCCCAAGTCTTGAGTCTTCTCAAGCCCCTTGTGACACTAGGACTGGGTCCCTGGATTTGTGAATTTCCTCATTATGGTGCAGCACTGCTAGACAAATTGAGCGGGGCCGCACCCCCTCCCCCCGCCTCCCTTTCCCAGGGGGCGGCGGGCGAGGAAAGGGTGAGCATTTTGCCTCTCCCCTGTTGGCGCCCCCCACCCCCCGTACATTTTCAGCGTTTTTTATAGCGTCCACTTCCCTTTACTCCAGCCCTCCTTTTACAGACCTAATTTGGAGACTGGTCACTTTTCTGCAGTGTCTCCAGCAAGTGAGTCCTTCACCCTTCTAATTTCATCCATCTTCTACATTTCATTCTCATCTTTCTTAGAAACTAACATTTTCCACTTGCTTCTTCCAGGCAGCTGGAAGGTGAACATAAGAGAGGCAGAAGAATTTGAGAGAGGCAGACTACACTGAGCAGGGAGCTTTGCGAAGTTGGGAACTTTAATAGGTTTTGTAGATGTAAACTATTTATACCTCCCTTAAGAGGACTTTTTCATCATTATACCCTTCTAGAATCTTTGTCCCAATATAGTTCTTTTAATGATAACTGCTGAAAATGCAGGTAGAAAGAGCTTACTGGCAACAACAGATTTGAAATTTTATTATTTTTTAAGTGGGTAAAGTTAGATCATACTTTAAAGAGCTTAAAGAGTCGGAGGTTCCAGTATAAGTAAGGGCTTGGCCACTGTAGTTTATCATAAAATATAGGACATACTTCAGCTGTATACAGTATGACGTGATTTTATCACACCTAACTTAGGGGTGGATAATAACAACATTGAATATGTTTAAAAACCATATTCCATATTCTCTATTCACAAAGAATTTGTGTTCACCTTCATAGTATAGACATTTGGTTTCCAGTTCTAGCCATATGTTTTTAGATAATAGTTCACACCTAAATATACCTTTTTTCTGGCAGCGCTGAGAACTGAACCTAGGGCCTTGAACATGGTAGGCAAATGCTTTTACCCCTGACCTATATCCACAGCTCCCTAAGTAAAATTATGCCAAGAATTTTATGGGGAAAACTTAACTCACTACTGCTAGTTTTGATTGAGATTTTTAAGGTTTGGAAACATTAATTTAGATATTAAATATGAATTTTATTTTGAAAGTTGGAAAGAATTAAAATTCCGGGGTAAGATTGATAGACTCCTTAGGCTCTATGTGTATGAGAAAGTGAGAAAGAGAGACAATATACACACATACAAAACCTTGTACATTCTCACAGTACTTAAATTTCATGAGTTTATATAAACTAGAATTGTTTTCTAGTTCTCAGTGGAAAAATATAAACGAGTGTAACGTTCACTCTTGGACAGGATTTTATAAGCTTTTGCTGGAAAAAAAAGTATTGTTTTTCTTATCCACCTTCTAACATGTATATCAATATGCTTCCATATGTTAAGATTTTGTGTATATACAAATAAGTCTATTAGAATGAATTAAAAGGAATCTTTACTCTGAGGTGACAACATTGTCTAATGAACCATATGTTTGAGCCTTGTTAATAAATTGTACTAAAAAGAGCAAGAGCTTAAAAAACTTTAAAAACTGCCTTTGTATCTAGAATAATAAGAATTTGTGACAGAGTTATAACAGTCATCAAAGAAAAATCCTGGACAATTTCAGATCTCTGAGTTTTTCCACAAATACTGTATCCAAATGGGCTGGTAAGTTGATATTGGGCTGGACTTAAAAGCCAGTTAAAAAACTAAAAAGTATAGTCTTTTCAGGTATATTTGCATTTAATAAGAGGACCATAGCTATGATTTTGGGACTTTGACCAGGAAGCTCTCACTGTTAGGTAGCCAAGAATTAAATTCATGCAGAGAGAGGTTCTGTAGTTTTGGATGTGTGCAAGGTGTTCTGGCCTCATTACCCACTGCTGTAGACTCCCTAAAATGCCATTTCCTGAATTTACCTATCTTGCATGGATTATAATCTTAAATCTTAAAAACATCTCATCCTGGTAGATGCCTTTTTCTTTATTTTGCAAAAGAAATAAGGCTCAGACGTGTTAAGTGATATACCTGAGGCCACACCATAATATGCCAGAGTTAGCATTCAAACCCTATCTATCCTTTTGGCCCTAAAGCTAGAGCTTCTCCCACTACATATACTTCACTGCCCCCTACTGTCTCTGTCCTCTTGATCATCTCTTGATGAGAGTTAAACCAAGAAGGCTTGGCATTTCCTTATTTCACTTTAGCTTGGGACATGTGCAAGGGACAATAGATTTTTTGCCACTGTAATACATATCCATGAGTGATTTCAAAAGCTTGACAAGTATTAATTTGGGGGTAATGCATACATTTTAGCAAATAGGTGAATTTGCAAATATGAAATCCATGAAAAATGAGGATCGCCTGTACTTGTGTCCCATACAGTCAATTTCATGGTATACCCCTCCAAGATCCTCAGCAGAATGTTCCTTTACCTTCTTTGATAACTTACTTGTTTATTTATTCAACATATTGATTAAGCACTTAGTGTAAGTCAAGCTAGAGATTAAAGTCTTGTTTTATGGATTTTTTTTTTTCTTTTTGCGGGGGTTGGTACTAGGGACTGAACCCAGGGCCTTCACACTGAGCTACATCCCTTTTTACCAAGGCAGGTAGCAGAACCACTGAGCTAAATCCCCAGCCCTACATCCCTTTTTAAAAACTTTTTATTTTTGGGCTGGAGATTTAGCTCAGTGGTTCCACTACCTGCTTCACAAGTACAAAGATCCAAGTTTGAGCCCTGGTACCAAAAAAAATTTTTTTTTAAATTTTTAATTTTGAGAAAGAGTCTAAGTTGCTGAGTTGCCTAGACTGGACTTCAGTTTTATATATGTATATTTTTGAGACAGGGTCTTGTTATGTAGTTCAAGGGTATGGCCCAGGCTGTCTTCAAACTCATAGCAATCCTGCCTCAGCCTCCTGAATGCTAGGATTACAGGCCCAGTGTATAGCTGTCACATTGGAATAAGAAAGAGAACTAAACTTGGTTCAGTTGAAATTACAGATTAGGTTGACCAGGGTGAAACGTTCTGTACTCCTCCCACTTTGTATATCCAAGTGTAATTCCAGAACATTTCTGTTCTATTCTTTTGCATAAACTCTTTCACATGAGCCCCTCTCACTGGCTGCTGTTAACTACTTATCATTTGTTAATTGTGAAACCATTTGCCCATTTAACTGGTAGAATTCTGTAGAAGAATTATGTTGATGTGATTTTTATTTATTTATTTATTTATTGGTACCGGGGACCAAACTTGGGACTTTGAGCTTGTAAGGCAGGCAGTGGAATCACTGAGCTAAATCCGTGGTTCAACCTGAATTTTTAAAATTCTGCCTTTTGTCATCTACCATGTGAGTGACTTCAGTCAGGTTCCTGGACTTTTATTTTAAAAGAGTTCAAAAAGTGATGTGTTAGACACTTGCAGGTTTTAAGGTAGAGTCATTCACACATATTACCCCTCTGATGAGGGGGGAATATAACTTGAATGGGAAATAATTTCAGCATTGGTATTATCTCTTAGCCTTCTTGCTTTCAAATCCTTATAGAAAAATAGCTTAGCAGTATTTAGGATAGAATCTAACACCCGAACACCTACCTTCTTTTACTTTGTCCACTCAATGTTTACATTTTCCTAAGAGAGACTATCTGGTTGGATTCATATCTAAAGAGGATGGCCTCTACCAGACCACCCACACACACACACACACACACACACACACACCCTTACCCTTGCTACCAGACCACACACACACACACACACACACACACACACACACACACACCC